CTAAATTGGTTGATGGGATTTATCATATACAGACAAAAAGACCAAGGAGGAATGGAGAGTGGGTCCTGGCACCCGTCTGGCCTTCTTGTGCATTGAGTTAGACTCAGTTAAGTAAATTTCTCGCCTCCCAGTAGAAAAGCTCGAAGCAAAAAGACTATAGGTGAGGATAATGAGCAGTAGGAATAAGGCCACACTTCATGAATTTCAATCCATTACTGGGTTGTTAAAAAATTGCCTGTAAAGTTATTATTCATGGACGAGACTTTTTGCTTGCCTTTACAATGCTACTAAAGGGGTTTGCGCTCCACATCACCATATTAGAATTACTAGCCGGATTGGAGCCAATTTGAGGGTTTGGTAATCAGTTTTGGGTCAATTTAATTGAGCCTCCTTTTGGAGGTCAAAAAATGCTTTAAAAGGCAGACCTCCAGGTATACTTCAATGATTCAGGCGCACATGGTTTTGGCCATATTGGAAGGGTCAGTGGGCAGCTGTGAGATGGCCCCAAGAGTGGATCATTACGGGTTGGACATGACCTTACTTTCCACAAACTCTTCCCCATGGTGGTTGCAGTTCAGTTGGGGCCAGGTCAATTCAAAAATAAAACTCTGTAGTTTTGGGGTGACAACCAAGCAAGGGTTCTTGTAGTGAACTCTCAAACCTCCAAGTCATTAAGGATGAAGTCTTTGGTTAGAGCAAAGGTTTCTCAATGTTTAAGATGCAACATGTTGTTTCAAGCACCATGTGCCAGGATTGCTAAATCCGTTGGCGGAAGCCAATTTTTGTTTTAAGTTTCGTCAATTCTCCACGGAGGCTGCAGCTCTACCATGGGAGATACCAAAGCATCTGTGGAGCTTTGGAGATGACAAATTGACAGGGCGATCCTACAGTCTGTCGCTCCATCGACACGCAAGTTGTATGAGTGTGCTGTGCGAGCTTTTAGGCTGTTTTTGTATATGGAAGGGGAGATGAGGATTGGTATGGAGTGTGGATATGGTATTGCGTTTTGAGGTCCATCTTCCGCAATCAGGTTTGTCCCCGATCACTATTACGACAAGGTTAGCAGCTCTGTCTTTTTACTTTAAGGCAGGAGGGTTCATCAACCCAACGGGGGGGCAATTTTAGGGTTTTTAGGGCCTTAGAAGGTTAGACCAGGGAGTTTCATCCGGCACGCGATACTGGCTTGCCGGTAACAGGATCAATTTTAATGCAAATGTGTCAGTCCCTTCCTATGGTATGTTCTTCAATTCAAGAGGTGATGCTTTTTAGAGCTGGGTTTT